ATACAAGGGTATCTTCCAACAACTGAAGACTGGAAGCTCTATACTACTCTTACAAAAGACTATCCTCAGTTCTATCCCAGTCACAAAGGCTTCAGGAAATATCAGATTCCTTTTGCAAAGAATGTGTGTCCTCTTCAGTCTACCTTCCCTCATATTTGGAGGTGGGCTTCACACATATCTACTTTTAGTGAGAAAGAGAGAGAATTATTTCCAACTGCTGAGAGATCACTAGCAGACATTCTTCGGGACTTTGGAGAAAGAGCGGAGAACATGGTAAAGCTACATGTGTGTGGTTTGTTTGTGTTGTAGACTTGACTTGACTAGAGTGTTCAATCTGTTACAGCTTTTATGTTTTTTTCTTAGTTTTATGAGATCCCTAGTTATTGTTTTTTGTAGCATGTTATTTGTGCACTGATATTTGTTTGACATCATCATCATCATGTGTTACTTTTCTTATGTATTGGATATTGATATTATTTTGGGACACCTGGGTCATAACTAGCATGTATAGAGGGAGGATTTTAACCAGCAACTTTGCTATAATTCTAGTTTTAGTGTTTATTCATAATCATTATCATGAGTTAATGTTTACCTTGTGAAGTAAAACATCCAAAAGGCATCTTTCTTCACCCACCATGTCACAGAAAATTGAATATTACAATAAAATAGAAAAAAAGTTACACAAATAACAAAATGTTACTTATTGTTATTATTATTGCACTGAAGTATGGACTACCTAGAGAGAAAATGAGTCTGTGGAAGGAAAATAGTATGTTACCTTCTGGATATTATAAATTAAATGACAAATATAGATATTGGAAAATGACAGAAAAGCTAAAAATGATTATACAGAAAGCAAAACTAGCATTTCAAAGGGAAGGCATGGTGTCTTGTTACTGCACACGAATGTTCATGTCAGAGTGGCCACTCCCATAAGCCTAATGCTTGTATTTTGAGTCACTTGATGGCAGTGAAGCATCCAGATCTAATGGGTCAAGAAACTTTTGAACAGTAAAAAACATGCTGTATGTATTTTTATAATATGAAATTACTCAAAAGAAACATTATTCCTATTTATTTTTCATTATTAGTTTTATTTCCATTTATTAACTGTAAAGGTAGATGTGGCCCGCTACTGGCTTAGATATAGCCTCTGGCCTACATACAAACAAGATTGCCAACTTCAAGTTCAAAACATTACATCACCAACCCTTTTGACACTGATTTTAGCATATTACATATGGAATGGCTGGTAGATCAGAGGCATTTTTTAAAGCAAAACTATTCAAACCACCCTCTCAGGACCTTGTAGGTATAAAGGGTTTGAACTAAACCAAATCTCATCATTAAGTAAGATTTGCAAAGGATGTGTTGGGTTAATTAGTGGCCATTTACAGAGTGCAATCGCAGGCCTGACATCTGTCAACTCCCCTACCTCATCGGTTTCTGGTTTTGAATAACATTTACTTGATGTTCTTCCTATGTCATGCATCTAGGGAGCCCACTACTGGCCTTTTTTCTGGTGGACTCACTTTCTTTATGTCGCTGGGTTCACAGGGATACTTTGGCTTTGAAATACCCAATCTTCTTGAAATTATAACACTATTCAAACCCATTATGAAGCTTCATCTGTTCCAAGCTTTGAAAACAACAAATACCAACCTTTCTAGATCAACTCCTAGTGATCATTTGGGTTTCATCTACTCCCAAGTAAAGATTTTTAGTGATACTTGGTAGCAAACAACTTGGTGCCAGTCTGTGTACCTTATTCCCTCAGCTTGGCCAATGCACTCCATTGATTGTTTTGGATAAAAATATACCATTCTGTGGAAAAGCTGTTTGTAGTTTAATTCATTATTTTGAGAATGGCATCATGTTATGCAAAAGTTTGTAAACTCAGTGAATATAATCATTATTTTAATTGTTTGTTGATGACCATGCAGTATCCATTAATTTGAAAACCCCTAGAATTATGATTTTGGGGAATAAGAAAGAAGGGGGAAACTCACTGGTGGGAGAGGCACATTGGCAAGCTATGACAAACTTTTGAGTGCCAGAGGTTCCTGAGACTGCATTGAGTAGCCACAAATGGTATTTGTGATTTAATTCTTATCTTAGTCTTTATATACAAAAGCTATGATATTTTTGTTTGTTCATATAGTGTGTGTCTCTATTTTTGTTTATTGGAAAGAATATTGTTTATTACATTTTTTTTCTGTTAAACTGTCTCCTCTCCTTTCTGCAGTTCTCTCCCCTTTCCTTTCCCCACTGCAAAAAGCAGTTCCTTTTTTTAGGTTGAATTTTATTTCCACTTAAATTTATTGTTGTTCTTTATATTTCCACTCTGCAATAACTAAAAATTATTCATTTTGCTTATATGAATGGATTTTGCCCTTACCAATCCTTTGGTAGGCAGTATTGTCATGTAGGCATCCCTTGCTATGAATTAGTTGCTGTATCATTAAGTATAGGATCTTAGAATTTTCCTCTCATAATTTTTATATGATCTGGTATGTTCAATTATATGATCTTTGATTAGTGGTCAGATGATTACTACAAAAATAGTGAAAAATCACCCAACCATGCTGTGCTCAGTCTTTGTGTATACTTATATTCTTTGTGTGTCTCCCTAGCTGCAAAGAGTTTTGTATTTGATTAGTATAATGGTTTGTGATTCTGATGGAGCATTAACCCACAGATGCCAGGGTGACATGCACAGTTGCCTGCACTTACACCTGTACACCTGTTTTCTGTAGATAGTGAAAGCGGTATCTCTTTGTTTGTGTACTTTTTCATACTATGTAAGGTTGAATGGAAAAGAGTAGATCATTAGAAACACAGGTTTACCAAGTTTAGAAATTTATTTTAATTAATGATTGTCTATGTATAGATATAACAGTGACATAACTAGCTATTTATAACCAGTGATGGTTATAAATAACCTACTATTTCATTAGTTTGTGGGTTTTCTGCATTAGTGGGGAGATGGAGTATATTATGAAATTAGTAACAGGGATGTGGGATAAAGTTAAGAGAAATAGATTATGCTATAAATGCTTTTACATCAACACATGAGATATGGGCTGCTGTGGACACTTTTTTGGACACTCTCACACACATGGTCACAAGAGAAAGAATATTCAATGTTTGATGGCTGTTAGTCTTTGCAAAAAGAGCAATTGCTAGTTTGGAAACAAGGAGAATTTTCCTTGAATAAAAAACAAATGATTTGGCAATTTGGTTACAGATTTGTTTGCACAACCCAGATCAGAATTTCTGAATCAAGTCCTATAGAAAAAAAAAAAAATCTGTTGTGCCCACACATGCATACGCACATGTACACACACGCATGCACGCACACGCGCACATTCACATGCACACACACACACACACAGTCTCTCTCTCACTCTCTCATTCTTGTTCTCATTCTCATTCTCACTCATTCTCACACTCTCACTCTCACTCTCACTCTCACCCTCTCACTCTCACCCTCTCACTCTCACCCTCTCACTCTCTCACTCTCTCGCCCTCTCGCCCTCTCGCCCTCTCGCCCTCTCGCCCTCTCGCCCTCTCGCCCTCTCTCTCCTTCTCTCTTTCTCTCTTTCTCACTTTCTCTTCAAGTCATGCTCCAATCCATTCAAGTCATAAGTATGTATGAGAATATAAACAAATGCAGAGTTGCTGCTTCAGGTGTCCAATGAAAATGGATATACTTTTTGTTTTGAATTTTGTTTACAAATGGATGGGCTCCATTAAGGATGATTTACTTGGAAAAACCTTACATTGAATATCTTTACTTCATTTCGGTCTGTTTGCTTTTTCTTTTCTTTAAGCAATAGCGTTATGTTTACCTTTTTGACAATTACTGATGTGATTAACCTCCCAGATGCAGGTAGGACATGTATACATACCCAGTTCTCTGTAATTTTAGTTTATTTGTTTTATTTACAAATAGATGGTACCATGAATGTCAAGTCACCAAAGAGTCAGTGAATGGGCCTAACTGATCTCATCTGTTTATCATATTTCTTAATTTTTTGGGAAAATAACTTATTTTCATTACTGTTAGTATTGTTAATGATATAAAAGTAATGTCATTGATAATATCAACATTAATGATAAAAATATGGGACTAGAAATAACTATTTTCCTAGAAACTCAAGGAATTCAAGTGAGTAATTGACTCCTTGGTAAGTAAGTGCTTGTGAAGCCATCCTTGTATAAATTAACAAAACCACAGTGCATGTATGTACCTGGTGCCAGAGGGTAAATTCTTTACTCCTTTTATGGTGGACAGAAAAGTATTCTCATGTTATATTGTTATTGGTGTAAAGTTAAAGAATGTAATTCAGTATTATAGTAAGTGATGCTATTAATAAGGGCCAAATGTCAAGGAGTTTTGATAATTTTATGTTTACAAATTGGTTGTGATAAGTATGTAGTCCAATTTTGTCATGATGTATATAAAAGAATATAACAATATTTTTTGCAGGGGATAACTAATGGTAAAGAAACTAAAATACTTTCACAGGAATGGAAATATTGGTTTCCATGTGAAATTATTTCAGTACAGAAGTAGCCCAATAGTTGATCATAGGTGGGGTTTCAGTATTTAGTGTTGGTGAGACATTGAAGAAAAAGAGAGATCTCTGAGTTGACTGGGTTACATGTTGCCAGTTAGCTTATCTTGCTTATCAGGTAGATTATCTTGTTGAAATTATTCAGAATTTAAAAAGAAATATCAAAGCTCGTGGAAGATTATTGTTTGTTTATATTTACTTCAGAAAATTGCCGACTCCAAAGTCTATGTTAGAATAATTTTGTTACATTCATTGGCAGGTAATGTATTTAACACATTTTTGCAGGAAGGAGAAGAATGCCAACAGATAAGAAGTCAGGTACCTCTAGACATAGGATCCCTTTCCATTGATGAAAATGTTGAACAGTTAAACAGTGCTGGGGAGGATGGTGACTCCGATGAGGAGAAAGGAGAACAGGAACTGAATGAACAAGAGGAAGAGGAGGAGGAAGAGTATTTATATGAAGAAGTTTGTGAAGATGATGAAAGAATAGATTTAGAAAACCACAACGGGGATGAAGAATATGATGAAGGTGAGAAGTGAACGACATTTATAATATTGAACAATATTTCTCTAATTATACATATAACTTTTCTGTACACATTATTATTATTGGAATTACTGCTAAGGGAAAGTAACTTGCATCATCTGCTTTCACAGACCAAAATGAAGAAATCATTGGAGATAATGCAGAAGAAGGAGCTGGTGGTGAAGATGATGACGATGATGCTGGAGGATGGATTACTCTCTCTAATGTCAAAAAACATAAGATGAAGAAAATTGGATTGAAGCCAGAGGATGAAATAGAAGAGAAGGAAGTCCTTGTTGCTTGCATGACAGCTGATTTTGCCATGCAGGTAGGAAATATGGCTTGTATGTTGAAATGTGTTCATGTGGATATATTTTACGCATATATGTAATTTTGCATTCTCAAGCCTCATACAACCAGTATGAGGATACTCATGAAAATGTATGGAGGAAATATGAAAGGAGAATTGATTTGTCATTTGCTTTCAGAATGTCCTGAAGCACATAGGCTTGAGAGTGATGGGAGTTGATGGCAAACTGATTCAGCAGGTCAGGACCTTCATTCTGCGATGCCATGCATGCTTCAAGACCACAAGCATCATGAACAGAGTGAGTTCCTCAGACTTTTTTTTTTAACCTAAAGAATAAAATTTTCCTTCAGCCCTTTGACTCCTCTTGGATCTGATATGTAAAGTACAGTCTATATTTACAGTGAAGTAAAATATTTTTGTATAGGCTTTATTCTAAGGATGCTGTGATTTCATTTTTCATTTGATACTGTATGTTTCTTCATGACATGCAGTATTCATTATTAATTTAACACTAGAGTTTAATTCAGTATTTTAAAGCTTTGTTATTGCTTTGTCATATGTCCAGCTGGTAATTTTACCTATAAGTGTATAGTTTTCTGTGCAGTTAGATATTGCATATGTAGCTCTACCACAGTTGTTTTTTGTAAAAATTATCTTTTTCAGATTTAACAGATAAATTTGATTATGATTATTTATAGTATTATTACCATTTTAGTAGTGCTATTGTTGCCCTGCATTTTGGTCTGATTAATGTTAAAATCCCAACCTATTCTATTTACAGACATTTTGCCCAAAGTGTGGTAATAAAACTCTAAAGAAAGTATCGGTGACATTGAACCCCGATGGCACAAAGAAGATTTGGGTCAACACCAAGAAACCAATCAACATTAAAGGAACAAAGGTGAGACTGGGCCGTCGGCTTCTCTCTCTTTAGTTTCTGTGTTCAATATGGTATAGAAATAGGCCTAGGATATGGGGCTTTTATTTTTAGTGATATCATCGTAATCCACAAATTACTTGAAAATAATGGGAAGCCTTTATCAGTTGTGTCAATGTTGTTATCTGTAATTATTTTTGTGTAGTCACGTTTTTCTTTCTCCATATGTGAATCTTCAACAAGAATGACGGAAAGTATGTAAATTCTAACATTTTGAAGCAGACTAGACCAGTTCTCAGACAGTAAGAAATTGGGAGGGAAATTAGCACACATTTAGTATTTTCTCTTTGTGTAGTATGTTTCATTTCGTACTTATAAACTTAGATGTTTACCTTCTTTTCTTCTTTTCTTTTTCTTCTTTTTCTCCTCCTCTGTCATGTTTTTCTTCTTTTGCTTTTCATCTACTACTGCTATTTCCTGATTTTTCTCCTTGTTTTTTTTTTCTCTCTCTCTGAATTTTTCTTTTCTTTCTTTTTCTTTTATTTCTGGTTTTACTTTTCTTCCATTCTTTTTGTTCTTCTGATTTTCCTTATTTCTTGCTTTTTGTATCTTCTGATTTTCCTTTTCTTTTTATTTATTCATATATGTATATATTTTTCTTGTTTTCATCCTTTTTCTCTTTCAATTCTTCTTTCTTCATCATTTGTCATAATCTTCATTTTCATTGTTATCATAACCTTGTTACTACCTGTTCTTTTCCTTGTTATCATCTTTACTGCCTTATCTTCCTCCTTCCTTTTCCTATTTCTTTATTTTCTTTTGTGTGTGTGTGCATGTGTGTGTGTGTGTGTGTGTGTTTGTTTTATTTATTGAATATTGCTGGTATTGTGATTACTCATCCATTTCTTTCCTGTTGGCAGTTCTCCCTACCCATGCCAAAAGGAGGCAAACATGCAAGAAACCCTATACTAGCTGCTGATCAGAAAGAAGCAAAGAAATATGCGAGTAAACTTAGTTATAAGAAGATCAACCCACTCCATGTTGATTATGATACTTGTGAGTATGATTTCTCATTCTTTCAATTACTGTTGAAAACTATAATATTTACACAGGTTTCTTAAGTGTGTGTTTGTTTTATTTATTGAATATTGCTGGTATTGTGATTACTCATCCATTTCTTTCCTGTTGGCAGTTCTCCCTACCCATGCCAAAAGGAGGCAAACATGCAAGTAACTAGTTATAAGAAGATCAACCCACTCCATGTTGATTATGATACTTGTGAGTATGATTTCTCATTCTTTCAATTACTGTTGAAAACTATAATATTTACACAGGTTTCTTAACCCAAAAGCGATGGGGATGGCTTGTACGTACGTGCCATGCCCACTGTGAGAATACTTTATTAATTGTTTTTATGCTCAGATGGCTGCTCTTGTACAAACTTGCCAATGAGCCAATTATGAGTACTACTTGTCTCACCCTGTTTACCCTTTTCCTTGATTTTTGAAAATGTTTTTATGTTATCTTATATTGCTGTTATTATTGTCAGTAACATTATAGTAATTATAATGTCTATAATAAAAATAACACTATCGATATTCATAGCATTAGTAAAAAAAATATATATGTACATTTTTCCCGCAAATCCAAGGAAAGATGAACTCAGGTACGGTTACAAGGTCTACTAATTGACTCCTTTGTGGCTAAGCACTTGCAAAGCCATCTATGTGCGGAGACATTTCACATAAAATTCTAAAATGAGAACAGCATTTTTCCGGCAATATTGGGTTAATCAGTTAGCTCTTTGTGCATTTTGAGATCCAGTATGTGTAGCTGAGGTTTTTATCTAAATATGCTTATGTAAGGAATATTTTGCTTACATTTGTGGAGGTATGAATATATAAAAGTCAAGTTGAAATTTGAAATAGTTTTATATGATAATCTAAAAACTTGAGTTAGGTAAATGACAGATAGACTCAATTGGTTACAAATCTAAGAATTAGGGATGAAAACAGGATATTTTGATGAATTACAAACTGGATTTTTTTTTTTTTTTATTATTCTCTGATCACATTATTGTAAAACATATAAAAGTGGCTCACTTAATCCAATGCTGCTGAGAACATTTTATGTCCATTGTAGTTTTGTTTTGTGAATTTTGTTTACACTTAGATAGCTCCACAAGGACTCAGCCACCAAGGAGTCAATTAACCCCTTCATGACGGGTGACGCTGATAAGCGTGAAAACAAACTGCTTGAAATGTGGCATGCGGCTGTATGCTGCAGCAGGGCACCAAAGCGCGGCGAGCCGGTGATTCGGCCTGATGTATCGAACTCCCACACTCAAAGTCTGCGTGCTGCCATTGATTGCCAGAGTGCCCCCCCCCCCCCCATCACCATTGGGTTAAAATAGGTCTATGTATCTTACCTGATCCCCCCCTCCCCCTTTTTTTTTCTCTCTCTCTCTCACTCATACTATTAACCCATTGGAGTTGAGTGATGTAACCACATCATGAAAAAACTTGTCTGAAGGCTTGGTGAAAGGAAAGGGAATGCAAGGAATCTCGATACTGCATGTGCTACACTCCCAGGAGAGTCACCAATGACATAAGCCTATTTCCTGGACTCTGGTCCACATGCTGGACAACAGACACCCAGATACAACAGGTTGATGTCAATACTGTTATTTTTATTATTATTATTATTATTATTATTATTATGTTATGGATACTATCATAAGCAGAGGGTGGCATAGCTCAGTGGTAGATTGCTGGCTTTGCAGTTGCAAGGGCCTGGGTTCGTGCCCAGCTGCCATCCCTCTCAATCGACTCAACTGTGATTGAGTACTGATATGCTGACATCAGCATGTTGGAGTCAAAGTCGGGGCAGAAAGGAACTGGCCATCATACTACATTATCCCATGGCTTAGTAAGCATGTTTCTCTGTGAACATGTCCCCTATGTTAACATGGACATGGGCCCAACTTTGACTTTTGAACATCACAAGCAATGAGAAAAATTATATATTTTCAAAAATCCAAGGTCTCTTGACACAGGTAGACACACTCCATCTTGATGAATATCCTAATTGGCAATTTCTGAGCTAAGCCCCTCCTCATCACCTTTATTCATTACAATTTTTTTTTTTTTTTTCTTCTTCTTGGTTTTATCTTCAGTACTTTTTTTTTTTTTTTTTTTTTTTTTTTTTACCATTGTCATTACTGAACCATTTTCAAAGATAATGCACTGTAATAACATTTACCATAAAAGTATTGGGGTCAAAAAGGGAGATGAGCTAATGACATCACTACACTTAGCCAATGAGTGTACTGTGAAATATCAGATATAGATAAACACACAATTATATGTATAATTTACTCATTATAGTTATACTAGCCAGAAGTAAAAACAAAATTCCCCTCTCATTTATGATAAGAGTTCCCAAGAATACTCTTGGGAAAAAGTCCATTCCATTTTTGGGTTCAGTAGGCTTCATGGATGTAGAGCTGTATGGTTATGTGTGCCTTGCAAAAATTAAAGAAGACTTGACATAGGTAGGAATAGTGATTGACTCTTTGGTGACTAAGCATTTGTGAAGCCATATATCTATAATACAATTAATAAACTAATATCACAGTGGACAAGTCATGTATGTACATGCTATCCTTTGGGTTGACAGTAATTCTACATATTTACCAAGTACTGTTATTTTGAGTTTTCTGATAAACATGACTAAAAGTAAAACGTCAAGTAAGTTCATTATGTGTCTTAAATTCAAGTATGGCTGTTTGGTAACATTGTTTGAAGAATCAAAATCCAGGTATGACTAAAAAGGCTAATGACAGATTGGTAAGCAACTTATGGTTGCATTACAAAATGATTTTGAATTACATAAAAAATAACAATAATTTTGGTGTTTTTGGAAGAAGTAAAAATCATTTTGGTGCCAGAATTAAGTGGGTTAATCTTAAATGTTTTAGTAAAAGCAGCAGGCTTGTGCTTTACGAAGAAAGATGATTAAAAATGTCTTTTTTCAACAAATATGGTGATTATCAAAAAAGAAAAATATTCATTGTGAATTACTCTTCCCAAATATTTTTTAAAAGCTTAGGCCCCAGAGAGAATTAAGAATAAACTATTATAGAAATATACTATTCTTTGTTGTTGAAGAAGTTGATTTTCAAAGCAGTTCTCTTAGAAATAAAATGCATAAAACTTTATTAGAAAAGAAGGCAGTATATATGGAAAAAAAATGGCTAGTTCATGAGCAAGAACACCTATTAGAGTTTCTCCAAATAGAGTAAATTGAAGCAAAGATATGAATTATGTTATTTGCTTGTTATTCTTCTTTGACTGCTTTTGAGATAAGCATGAATAAGTTAATGGATTAAGGGTAAAAGTGGTATGTATGCATGTTTTCATAAAATAGCTGAGATAGTTACATGAAGCAAGTATCAAAAATAACTTGTCTTTTGAAGATTTTGAATAAAGTGTCAGTGTTAACCATTTATCGTAGTGTAGCTCAACTACTTGGTGTAAGTATTGTTTTTTATATGACCCTAACCCAATACCTACGGGTTTATGTACTGTCCCCCTGTAGATTTTTGTGAATTTTGTTACAGATAGCTCCAGATGGGCTCAGCCACCTAGGAGTCTATCGGTTGACCCAAATAACCATACCTGATTTCCCCTTTCCTTGAATTAGCGGGAAAAATGTGTTTTTCTTTCTAATACTGTTGATTGTTATTATTCCTATTAATATTATGATTAAAATATTAATATCATGAAAGCCATCTATGTGTAAAGATAATAGATAAACAGTGGGCATGGCATGTCACCCACGCCAATTGGGTTAAGGGACTGTGACAGAAGGTAGAAGGCATCTGTCTGTGTGTCAAATGATAATATATTTAGAGAGCAAGTGCACTTCAGGGGGTGGGGCAGATCACCTCATATGTGTATGTGTCTGTGTCTGTGTGTATATGTGTAATGTGTATGTTTATATATGTGTATGTGTATATATGTGTGTGTGTGTATGTGTATATGTATATATGTGTGTGTGTGTGTGTGTGTGTGTGTGTGTGTGTGTGTGTGTGTGTGTGTGTGTGTGTGTGTGTGTGTGTGTGTGTGTGTGTGTGTGTGTGTATGTATGTATGTGTGTATGTGTGTATGTGTATATATATGTGTGTGCGTACGTGTGTGTATAAATGTGTATGTGTGTGAGTGTGTATATATATATGTGTATGTGTATATATATGTGTATGTGTGTGTGTGTGTATACATGTATATGTATGTGTGTGTGTATATGTGTATATATGTGTGTGTGTGTGTGTATTTATGCCTATGTGTGTGTGTGTCTGGGCATGGGTTTGTGTCTAACAACTGAGAACTTTTTTTTTTTTTTTTTTTTTTTTTTTTTTTTTTTTTTTTTTTTTTTTTTTTTTTTTACAATACTCATGTTCTGTATGACAAGAAAGCTCAGAACCTGTACAATGGGTTTCCTCAGGTTTTATTCCTAAATACATGGGTCTGTCATTCATAGGGTAGTTCGTCCATGGGAGGCCATGCCCACTGAGAAAATCCCCTCAGATTATTTGTTATTCATTGGCTATCATCTTTTAATTGGAAGTAGTGGATAGGAGTGCAATAGATAAAATTGAAATTAGTTACTATAATTTTCATTTCTTTTTTCAGTAAATTCACCGTTTGCTGTGCGTGATGTTTACTCGCGTGCTTCACAACTAGGTTATATTGCTGGTAAGAAGAATCATCAGCTATATTGGGAAAAGAAGAATCCTAATGAAGGAAGAAGAACAACAGGAAAGAGAAAAAAGTAATGGTATATGGTTGCTTGTAGTGTAAATATGGACATGTATATTGCTACAACTATTTACTAAGGATTTATTCATATACCCATTGTTGCTGGCTTAAAGAAAAACAATGACAGACATCAAAGCCCAGTAAGGTCATTAATGGTATTGTTTCATAAGTATTGATGTGTACTAATGTATGTAAATGATTTTTTTTTTTTTTTCTATTTTCCCATCCCATATTTGTGCTGTTTGTGTTATTGAGGATACATGACTTTGTGAAGTAGGTGAGATCTATAAGCAGTTGAATTACACACAAGTGTGTAATTTATTTGATCTGCCAAGAAAATTATTATATATTTTCCATAGATTGTTAATAAATAATATAATGGAAATCCTGAGGTTTATTGTCACATGAAAAGAGAGATCAACCATTATTACAAATTAAATGGTCTGAAAAGTCTCTAGTTGCCTTTATTTATTATTTCTTTGTTTTTGTTTTCTTTCTTTTTATTGGTTTAATGTGAAAGGAGTACAGCAACATAGGGACTTACATTTGGTTATTCATATATTTTTCAGTGATCACAACTAAACCAAAATTCATCATAAAAACAAAAGAAGAATTGACTTCCTTTTCAAATTTAGCCAAAGAATCCCTCTTTTCAATGAGGTTACTCAATGTATGGATTGCATTGCTCGGACATGTCATATGATGAAGAAGAACATGGAAGTGTAATAAATAATGAAGTTGTGAGTACCATTGTGTAAGTAATTTACATTTCTGTAGGATATTAACTATATTCAGGTATTCCTTTACAATATTAGCTATTTATGTCTGTATGACAATGTTTACAATTTAGTTTGATTGTAGGTGTTACATTCCAAGTAAACAATAGATGTAATCCAGTGAAACCTCAAATCCATACACAGCAGAACCTCTTTGTTTCATTTATCACATTAAACTGAATACAACAGAAGTAATCTATTTTTAGATTTCCACATGCTGCAGCTGACCCCAAACTTAACATGTAAATGCAAAATGGCAGTAAAAGAAATTTGCAATATGCTTTGTCTTTGGCAACTACGGAGATAAGAAATTATAATAAAAAAAAATGTATAAATTATAAAAAACGTATGAATCCCTTTGTGCAGAAAAATATAGTATATTGATTTCTTGTATTGTCTTTACAGTATTTAGAAAAAAGGAACACAGGAAATTTTTCTAAATCTTGCACACGATGCCATATCACTAAAATTACAGAGAATGCCCATAAATGACAACATTCTTTGTCTTCACAGAAAAGCTCAATATAAGAAAATAAAGTATTGCTAAACGTCTACCCGAAATGATAAATAAACCACTAAAGAATAGCTATCAAAGTTCACTTTTTTGGTCTGGTTCTTCATTAATAATTCCATTTACACCAGCAGTTTCTTTATCATTACTGTTAGTCTGAGTACTGGCTTCAGTATCCTCCTCCTCTTCTATGCTATCTTCATCTGTTGGGAGAAAAATGTTAAACATCAGTCTAACACACAGCAAAATACATAATAAATCTGCTGGAAAAAAAATAGATCATATTAGTTCAAATATAAACGAACTATTGATTTGGGTACGGTGACTTGAACTAAAATTTAAAGGAAACAATGTACAATACAAAAAGGAATAGATTCATTACATGAAACTATTACTGTTATTTTCCATAAACACTCCACCCAAAATCAAGGAATTATTATTATTTCATTTTTATATGTTCTCACAAAAGGTTGATTATAAACAAGGGGGAGAGGGATGTGATGTTTACTGCAGTATTGTTTTATGAAATATATTAAAACATAGATCGCCCCACAAGTGCTTAGCCATCAAGGAGTCAATTAGTAACCTACATACCCTCACCTGATTTTCCCTTACCTTGCATTTTCAGGATTTTTTTTTTACACTATTAATAGCTTTGCTATTATTATTGTTGACATAATTATTAATATTCTTAACAATACTAATAACATATAAAATCAAATAAAATATTTCAAAAAATCAAGATAAAGGGTAAACAGGTGAGATAGGTCAGACTTATGATGGACTCAGTTGAAATTAGGCACTTCCGTATACACCTATGTGTAAATACAATTAATAAACTAAACTCACTGTGGACACGGCATGTATGTGTATGTCATCCCCTGTGGCATTAGGTTAACAACAAATGAGCAATGAAAACCTCACAGAAACTTTACAATCATGCTCTTGCATCTTGAAGGTTTCAAGATTATTTTTTAAATCTGAAATCAATAATATCAAAAACTAAACAGCATGATCATCAAGCATTTTTATTTTAAATGTATGTGTATATTTGATTTAATAAAGGATGTGTTCAAAATGTAGAGTTCACTTACAAGCAGGTGTTAATAATTCCGCAGCCTTTTATTCATCATTGTGAATTACTTCATACACAAGTGTTTTTTCTATTAAACTAAACTTCAAGAAATATTGATTATTATGATTTTTCATTGTAATTCCAACAATCTGATTGACAGTTAATTTTTTCTATTTTTGTTAGACAGTGAGTAAATCTCCAAAATGATAGATAGTAGTTAATTTACCAGTCAAAATAATAAGTAACAACTATTGTCTAATACGTTTGAAAGCAGACAGGAAGATGCAAAGCACATCACAGGCAAGCAGATGCTATTAGAATGGAATGGGAATTCAATAAAATTGCTGTTTCTGAATAATCATATCATCAGAAACATTAGTTTCTAATTTCTAATATACATGAACAGTGAACCACTTGATCAATAAATAATTTCTTTAAATATTTTTATGACTGGCATCTAATGCTGTGTTTGGAACTCCTTGTCTTGCTCATCCAAATAGCTTGTCAGGACCAGCAGGACAAGGCCATGTTCAGAAATTCCGAGGCCTTCAAGCTCACAATGCAACCAATGCAGAACATTCACTCTTATCATATAAGTGTCTTCATTTCACATGCTGCATAGGTTTTGTAACTCCTCTGATAATTTACCTGCAACTGACAAACACAAAAATACCCTTTGATAACAATAAAGGGCCATAAAATTACTTATCACTATCTTATGATTGCCTGCAACTTTGATTGTTTACATACAAATGCTATTGTGACATTATCTCCTCCTGCTTTCCATGCTGTGAACCAGGGCCACATGGACAAGATAGACAACTTGTCTAGGATGTGAAAGTAGGGGCTCTGAATGGTCAAAACATCTTGTCCAACTTGTTAGACGAGGAGTTCCAAACACAGCATAAGTCCACTTTTCCTAGAATATAGGTAAACCCTGTTATCTCCATTTTTCACTCTACATTCACTCACTCATGCATGCTCTTCTCCTTTTCCTCTCTCACTTTTTCTCATTTTCCTCCTTATCATCATACAAGCAAAATGCAATGCCTGTTTCACTAATTACTAAGTGGATGGGCAGAAAAAAAAACAGAGGTGACAATTTTTTTTACTGAATTTTAATGACTAGAATCTGTGCGCTGTACAACTCTGCATAATGACAATAGAAATATTTTTATTTTATATAATGCTTAAATTGGTCATGTAGACATTACTAATAATATACACCACTGAAATAAATGTGGAAAAAGGAAAAGGACATCAACTTTTATGAATAATGGGGGGAAAAATCCTTAACCTAACTGGATTACAAGCACTTCTCTTTAAATATACAGACAAAAAGGTATCACACAGTTCTTGTGCTTGAATATGCCAAAAAGCAAAGGGAACATTTTTATGACAAAACATGGCTGTAAACCTAGAGATAAAACTTATAGTACATACATTTATCAAGTAAATAATCCACTATTATAGGTTATCAAAACTGAACCTCTTCCCCTTTTTTACTATCTAAGTATTCTAAAATTACATAAAGCAATGGTTCTAGGCCTTCTCTGAAAATTCTGATACAGATTAATAATATATTTATCAGTTATGTGCTCACCATTACTATATGATAATTTCATAACTTAACACAATTCTACAACAATCTTGAATAAAAGGTGAGAAGAGAATATCATCTGTAGACTTTTCAAGAATTCCATCAATTTGCCATACTACTTTCTTTTCACAATAGATGGGAAATATATAAGTCGTACAACTGAATTATTTCTGGCGAAGTGAAAACTATTATATAATTACTTTTGGGATAGAAAAGACATATAAAAGTAAAACTGATAACTTTTCTATTCATAATGTAAATAAGAAAGACAATGTTTAAAATGTGAAAATAAGAAAAATATTGGTGATCTATCTTCTAGTTACACAGTAGAACAAATAATCCTTTTTCCAATTATGCATACAGATGGCTCCACATGCTCAGCCGCCAAGAAGTCTGTTAGTGACTGATCCTGATTTCCCCATTCCTTGAATTGGCAGGAAAATGTGTTTTTCTCTTTAATACAGTTGGCATCGATACTGCTATTATTGTTATTGATGTGATTATTATCAAAATCTTGGTAACATCTAAGACAATGAAATAATACAAAAGACCCTTTCCAGAAGTCAAGGAAAAGAATAAACAGGTGAGATAGGTAGGACTAATAACTGACTCCTTGGTGATTAAGCACTTGTAGAGCCATCTATATGTAAATTCAAAAAATAAACTTATATTAAAGTGGGCATGGCATGTATTCTTGACATCAGTGCCAACTTAGTTAAGCTCTGAATGTAAAAATATGAATGACAACCATTTTACTGAAAAATGGAGGTTGGTTGGGGAACACATGAGTAACTCATCACAGAGGTGACTGCAGGTACAAGTACCAAAAAATGAATATTACTGACAAGCTGCCAAGGTATAAAGGTGAAAGACTGAATTTCTTTATGTATGTAATCGCAGGCATAAACCACTCTTCCATAAGATGTTATTAATTACAATAAATGAGTGTGCCTAAATTACTGGCATGCATATGGGGAGAAATTGCAGGAAAAATATCTTCAGCTTTGAAAAGGAGACACTTTTGTTCCCTAAACATTTCTTTGCAATAAGGATAAGGTAACTCATCAAAATATCTAGAGATCATTAATAATAATATTAATAATAATAATAATGATAATGATAATGATAATAATAATGATAATGATGATAATGATAATAATAATAATAATAATAATAATAATAAATTCCACATGAAACACATCAACCCAGCAGGCAATACACAGACTCCCGTTACTTTACTAGAGGCAAATAATTCTTAACATTCTTACTTTTTCTCCTGTTTTGGTTTTACGTGTTTGGGAATAGGCATGGATGAAGATAACAAAAAATACATCCACATCTTATTCAATCACTTTTTTCCAAATCATCCTAGTGTACAGTATTTTATTAATACAGTTAAATCCTCTTTGATAAATTTTTTGTC